GGGCCTCTGGGAAGCCTCTCCGGGGGCCGGCGCTCCGCGACAGGCCTATGCATAGGCTGTGCAAAGGCCTACCACTGCACAGGCCTGTCGTGGGCGTCTGGGGAGCCTCTCCGAGGGCCGGGTCTCCGCGACGAGCTTATGTATAGGTTGTGCATAGGCATACCACAGGCCCGTGCTTTTGCACAGTCCTGTCGCGGGCCTCTGGGGAGCCTCTCCGGGGGCCAGCGCTCCGCGACAGGCCTATGTATAGGCTGTGCGCAGGCCTACCACAGGCCTGTGCACAGGGTGTGCACAGGTGTGTCGCGGCTTTGGGGAGCCTCTCCGGGGGCCGTCGCACCGCGACAGGTTTATGCATAGGTTGTGCAGGCTTGTGACAGCCCTGCGCACAGGCTGTGCACAGGCCTGTCGTGGGCGTCTGGGGAGCCTCTCCGTGAACCTTATGCATAGGCTGTGTACAGGCCTACCACAGGCATGTGCACAGGCGCCTGTCGCGGGCGTCTGGGGAGTTTTGCGACATTCCTATGCGCAGGCTGTGCACAGGCCTGTCGTGGGCGTCTGGGGAGATTCTCCAGGAGCCAGCGCTCCGCGACAGGACTATGCATAGGCTGCGCACGCGCCTACCACAGGCCTTTGCACAGGCTGTGCACAGGCCTGTCGCGGGCCGTTGGAGAGCCTTTTCGGGGGCCGGCGCTCTGCGACAGGCCTGCGCGCATAGGCTGTGCACAGTTCTACCACAGGCCTGTGCACAGGCTGTGCACAGGCCTGTCGCGGGCCTCTGAGGAGCCTCTTCGGGGGCCGGCTCTCCGCGACGGGCCTGCACAGGCTAAGCACAGGCCTATCACAGGCCTGTGCACAGGCTGTGCACAGGGTTCTCGCGAGCGTCTGGGGAGCTTCTCCGGGGGCCGGCGCTTCTTGACAGGCTTATGCATAGGCTGCGCACAGGCCTACCACAGGCATGTGCACAGGCCTGTCGCGGGCCTCTGAGGAGCCCATCCGGGGGCCGGCGCTTCGCGACAGGTGTATTGTGCATAGGCTGCGCACAGGCCTACCACAGGCATGTGCACAGATTTGCACTGGCCTGTACTGGGTCTCTTAGGAGCTTCTCCGGCGCCAGCGCTCGTCGACAGGCCTATGCATACAGGATGTGCACAGGCATACCACAGGCCTGTGCACAGACTGTGTACAGGCCTGTCGCGGGCCTCTGGGGAGCCTCTCCAGGGGCCGGCTCTTCGCGACAGGCCTGTGCATAGGCTGTGCCCAGGCCTACCACACAGGCCTGTGCCCTCGTGGGAGAATGGAGCTCCGCCCAAGTGCCAGCCACATCAATTTCCAAGATTTGTGTTACCGTCTCAGCGCCAGCCGCATCCGTGCTTGAGACTCGTACTCTCGCCTGAGCCTCGGCTATAGCCGTCTTTTGCGAACGCCACCTCCGGCGCGAGGCAACTGGGGACCGCAGCTGCTGTCCCTTGGTGCTGGGCGAGTGCCGAACCTGGCTTAGTCAAGCGTGCCTTTTTAAGATTCTGATCCGCCGAGGATGCAACAGACACTTTAGCTTGGGCTTCGGTCCCCCTCTCTCTCCCTTCCTCCTCCTTTTGATCAACGATTTGCTGCGCGAGCCGACCTAGATCAGTGTCGATCACGCTCGCATGGACTGACTTCAAATGTTTTGTTTCGGGCCCGTCCGTTTCAAAACGTTGTCGTCGCGGCTTTTCTATTTCAAGCGGGTCAAGGTGCCTTTCCAGGACTGTTGTGGGGGTACTCTCGTTGGTAAGGTATCGGGCTGGAAAGTCCGTATAGCAATGCAATGAAGTCACGCAGTTCCCAAGCCAGGTTTCAGCAGCGCTTGACAAAACATGATGGACCCACGAACCCGGAAAGGGATATAGACATGTGGAGCATGGACACGTTTTCATGATACCCAACTGGGCAACACCTCACGAAACATCCCACGAGACACCTCACGAAACAGCCCACGAGACACCTCACGAAACATTCCACGAGACACCTCACGAAACATTTCACGAGACACCCCGCGAAACATTCCACGAGACACCCCACGAAACATTCCACGACGACAGGCAACCACTCAACCAAGGCGGTGTGGTCGTGCTGGTCGTGCTGGGGTGTGGTCGTGCTGGGGGGTGGTCGTGCTGGGGGGTGGTCGTGCTGGGGGGTGGTCGTGCTGGGGCGTGGTCGTGCTGGGGCGTGGTCGTGCTGGGGCGTGGTCGTGCTGGGGCGTGGTCGTGCTGGGGCGTGGTCGTGCTGGGGTGTGGTCGTGCTGTGGTAAGGTCGTGCTGGGGTGCGGTCGTGCTGGGGTGTGGTCTTGCTGGGGTGGGGTCGTGCTGGGGTGTGATCGTGCTGGGGTGGGGTCGTGCTGGGGTGTGGTCGTGCTGGGGTGTGGTCGTGCTGGGTGCGTGGTCGTGCTGGTCGTGTGGGGTCGTGCTGGGGCTGGGGTCGTGCTGGGGTGTGGGGTCGTGCTGGGGTGCTCCGCACCCTGTGATTTATCGATCGGGTCGTGCTGGGGTGTGGTCGTGCTGGGGTGTGGTCGTGCTGGGGTGTGGTCGTGCTGGGGTGTGGTCGTGCTGGGGTGTGGTCGTGCTGGGGGTGGTCGTGCTGGGGGGTGGTCGTGCTGGGGGGTGGTCGTGCTGGGGGGTGGTCGTGCTGGGGCGTGGTCGTGCTGGGGCGTGGTCGTGCTGGGGCGTGGTCGTGCTGGGGTGTGGTCGTGCTGTGGTGAGGTCGTGCTGGGGTGTGGTCGTGCTGGGGTGTGGTCTTGCTGGGGTAGGGTCGTGCTGGGGTCGGGTCGTGCTGGGGTGTGGTCGTGCTGGGGTATGGTCGTGCTGGGGTGGGGTCGTGCTGGGGTGGGGTCGTGCTGGGGTCTGGTCGTGCTGGGGTGTGGTCGTGCTGGGGTATGGTCGTGCTAGGGTGGGGTCGTGCATTTCGCTCGAGACATCCTGCCAAAATTCCAGGAAATCGTACAAAAACAAAGGAATTAGTCGAGACATCATCGAAATTCCTTCGCGCGGGGCGCTTTTCCGCGTCGCGGTCGGCTCTGCAAAACAGCGTTTCGCTCGAGACATCCTCGGCAAACTCTGCGGAGCAAGCGTTTCGCTCGAGACATCCTCAACACACGAAAAAAATTTATCTGATTTCAAAAACAAGCGTTTCGCTCGAGACATCCTCAAATTTTAATTCGCCGGCCTCCTTCGACCTCGTTATTTATCAGGGAAAAATTTCGCCGGCCTCCTTCAAGCAGGCACCGGGGGATTAGGTTTACCAACTAAAAGAGAACCCTGGGCCGGAGCCCTTTCCGGGAAAAAATGAAGGCTCTGCGAGGGCGCCGTCTTAGTAGGGCTCTATCGGGGCCCCTGGGTGCTTAAACATACTGCCCGGAGGGCCCCGTAGTGAGCCTGAGGAGACCTCCAGGAGAGCTCCCAGAACGGTGCGCACTTGCACGCCGCAGTTGGGGCTCTCTTGAAATTCTCTTGGGGTGTGACTCCGGTGCTCGTGTTGCCCGAAGGCCTCGACCCGGGTGCCTTCCTCGGAGCCTTAGTGAGCTTACTATAGGCTTGTGCGTAGCCTATGCATAGGCGCATGGTAGGGCTACGCATAGGCTATGCGCTGGGCTGTCGTAGGCCCGTGGTGCGGGTTTGTGCATAGGCTGTGCATATGCCTACGGCACACCTTCTACAGGCCTGTCCATACCCTGCCCACAGCCCTACCATAGGCCTGTGCATAGGCTATGCACAGGCCTTCCATAGGTCTTGTTGGGGTCTGCCCACACCCTAATTATTTGTAGGCCTACCGCAGACCTATACATAGGCTATGTCTCGGCCTATCAGAGGCCAATGTGCGGGCTGCCCATAGGCCTATGACAGGCCTTGCACAGGCTGTGCATAGGTCTACCGCGGGGGCCTTTGGTATATTCACACACGCCCGCTTCAGGGTGAAGATAGGCCTACGAATACCCTATGCATAGGCCTATGCGTAGGCGGTGGTAGGCGTCGCACAACCGACCGATAGGCCTGTCATAGGCCTGCGCACAGCCTGTCTGTATGCCTGTTACAGGCCTATGCATAGCGTGTTCATCGGCTTATGACAGAACTATCGATGGGCCTTCTCAGGGGCCTGCGGCAGCATGCGCCATAGGCCTATGCATACCCTGTGCAGAGGTCGGTTATAGACCCATCGATCGGCTTTGCACAGCGGATTGCTATCTACGCTGGGTGGGTTTATCCGAGGATGCGCCCCGTGCGCTGGGTGGGTTTCCCGAGGCTTCGCCTCGTCGGCGCCCCCGCTCGCTTGCGGGCGCCTCGTGGACGCCCCGAGCGTTGTGTGGGTTTTCCTTGTGTGAGTTTCCCGCGGTCTCGCCTCGCTTGTGCTCGTGGGTGCCCTGTGGGCGCCCCGCTCTCACAGCACAACATTTACATCACACAGCGTGCTCCGCATAGCATGCAACGCATGCTCATACCACATAGCTGGCACCACATGACTGACACAGCGTAGCCCACAGCACATAGCTTACACAGCAAAGCGTACACCACAGAGCGTCCACCACCCATAGTGCACAACATATATTACAACACATAGCTTACACAACAGAAATCGCACTGCGTAGAAGCAGTGCATCGTCTGGGCGTTCTGTGCGTCCCGTCTTCGAGCGGGGCGCACAGAGCGCGCCCGCGCTGCTCCTCGCCAGCGGCCTCGAGACAGGCAGAGGCACAGTTTCCTTGGCTTGGGAGCGTGCCAAGCGCTCACAGGGGCAAGGCAACCTGACTCCAAGGATTCTGGTAGGGGGTCCTGCCTGCAGTAGCTGGACAGATATCCTGATGACCGCACTGGTCGAAAAGCTTCCGAGTGGGTCCCAAGTGGCATTCGAAGGGGGTGGGGGCACCTATTTTGTTTGTTAGTTTTGGCTCAAGGGGTGACCGCAGTGAGAGCTTAGTCCGACCGACCTGCCGTCTCCCGCGTCGCGTTGTTGGGCGTGCGTCGGCGTTGTAGTAATGGTCAACGTGGACGTTCTTTCTCTGTTCGCGGCCTCTGTGAAGGCAGTGCTCAAGATCGGCGTAGTAGCAGGCGCCGGAGTTCTCATGGCGAAATGGGGCATCATCACGAATGAAGGCAAGAAGTGCCTCGGAGAACTGACGATGACTCTTCTGATCCCGTGCCTTATGTTCACTCAGGTTGCGGATTGCGACGTGCAAATGCAGCAGAACATTCCTTGCCCAAACATGAAGTCGGTGATCTTGGGCTCCTGGGTTCTATTCGTGTGGCCACTTGTTGTCGTCTCGAGTGGGTACGGGCTGGGCTATCTGGTATCCAAACTGCTGAGGGTGCCGCAGACTTTTGCCAGGGCTGCTGCTGGGTCTGTCGCTTTCGGCAACTCCACGGGTATGCCGCTCGTGCTTCTCCAGGCGCTCACCCCATCCTTGATCGCTAATGGTATTCTGAAGGAGAGTCCCCTGCTGTATCTTCCTGTGTACCTGGTCTTGTCGCCACTCCTGCAGTGGACGATCGGATCTGCAATATTCCAAGCGCCCAAGCCGAAAGATGAGGCCCCCCTTGCTCGAGATGAAGACGGCGAGAGTGAGACCGCATCCGATGAGTCGGACGACGAGGGTGAGAGCGCAGAGCGTGACCCGGTGCAGGGAGACCAGGCCGACACGGGCAGGTCGGTGCAATTTGTGCCACAATTCGCCCCCCAGGCCGAGATTGACGACGGGGTCACGTTGGAGTCAATCAAGTCCGGACGCCTGCTGCCCAGGAGCAGAGGAATAAGAAGCCGCATGAACACAATGTCTCTTAGGTCCGGGCGGTTTTGTTGGATCGGCGCTGGAGTCCCACTCCCTAATCGCGCGGTGCGCGCCAATACCAGGGGGGGCCAGCGCCGATCAATGAATTCCGCGCGGATCTCAGAAATTATGTTCATGCCTTGTACTTGTTCTTCGAAGGAAAAGAGACCGGGTATGGACAAAAGTGAGCAAGGTCTTGTCCATTTTTGTGTCGCCGCCAGTGCTGGCGACTATCCTCGGCATCTTCTTTGCACTGGCCAGGCCAATGTTGCCGCTCAATGCGTTTTTGTTCAAGAGGCTTATGCCATTCCGCCGACCCCCAGAAGGAGTGAGCTGCCTGCATTGTGGCTCAGAGGCTCCTTGGACTTCCGCGAGACTTTTTAGCAGCTTCTGGGGACCCTCTTGGGGCCAGTTTTGGAGCGTGTTCGGCACCGTCTGGGGGCGTCTGGGAGCCTCGTTTGGACCTCGGGGGCGTGTCGTGGAGTTGTTTACCGACCCTCCTATGTTGGGTGCTCGTTTTGAACAGAGCATTGTGGTATCCACTCCTTGGCCCGCCTCCCTCCTTCCTTGCTCATCCTGCGCTGCTTTCTGGGGGATGCGAACTGCGACAATGTCGCCTCTTTCGTGGGCTCCTGGGAGGCACGGCGGAGTAGTGCCAGCCGCCAGCCGAGACCCCGCGGCTCCTTATGACGCCTACGAACTGCGCAATTGTGTCAATTTTTGTGGGCTCCTGGTAGGTCTAATGGGGTCGTGGGCCACGCGCACCCAGCCGAGACTTCGCGGCTGCCTGGGGGGCTGCGAACTGCGCAACCGTCGCCACATTCGTGGGCTCCTGGGAGGCACAGCGGAGGGGGAATACACAAACGCAGCCGAGACCTCGCGGTTCCCTGAGGGAGGTTGCGAACTGCGCAATCGTCGCCACGTTCGTGGGATCCTGGGAGACACGGCGGAGTAGGGGAGTACGCGGATCCAGTCGAGACCTCGCATCTCCCTGGGGGGCTGAGAACTGCGCAACTGTCGCCACATTCGTGGGCCCCTGGTGGACACGGCGGAGTAAGGGAGTACGCGGACCCAGCTAAGACTTCGTATCTCCATGGGTGGCTGCGAACTGCGCAATTGTCGCCACTTTCGTGGGCTCCTGGGAGGCACGGCGGAGTAGGGGAGTACGCGGACTCCGCCGAGACCTCGCATCTCCTTGGGGGGCTGCGAAATGCGTAATTGTTGCCACTTCGTCGGCTCCTGGGAGGCACGGCGGAGTTGGAGAGTATGCGCACCGAGCCGAGACTTCGCGATTCCCTGGGGTGCTGCGACTTGCGCACGCCATTTTCGTGGGCTCTTGCGCAGCCGGAGAGTGCGCACCCAGCCGAGACCTCGCGGTTCCTGGGAGGTCTGGCGGAGTCGTGGGCCACGCGGGCCCAGGCGAGCCCTCGCTGCTCCTTGGGGGGCTTCGAATTGCGCAAATGTCGCCACTTCAGCAGTCCCCTGTGAGAATGGGAGGTCCAGCGGAGTCTGGGGCGACGCGGACCCAGCCGAGGCGTCGCATCGCCCTGGGGTGTTGCGAACTGCGACACTGGGAGGTCCAGCGGAGGCGAGGGCCACGCGGACCAATTTGGGACATCGTTGCCCCGTAGCAGGCTGCGAACTGCGCAATTGTCACCACTTTCGTCGGCTCCTGGGAGGTCCAGCGGGGTCGGGGACCACGCGCACCCAGCCGAGACCTCTCGGCTCCCTGGGAGGCTGTGAACTGCGCAGTTGTCGCCCGTTGGGTCCTGGGAAGCACGGCGGAGATGAGGGCAGCGCTGATTGTGCACATCTGGCGATGTGTTATTTTGTATGTAGCGGTCATGCACATGCTTGCCTCGCGTGGAGGAGAGGTTGGGCACGTCTCGGGTCGTTCGTTGTTGTGGGGCGCCCGTCGGCGGTCCCAGGATCTTGGAGCGGAGGGCTCGAAGTGTCCGTTCGGCTTCATTGTTCCTTTCGGGCCCCTCTCGGTGTGCTGCGGGCCGTCTTGGAAGTTGTGAAGACGAATTCGTAGTGTGCAAAGCGCGCTTCCTTCTCGAGAGGACGGGGGCACCGTGTGCCTTTTGGGGCACTCTCTTGGGTTTTCTTGGAGCTCTCTTAGGGCGTGCTGGTTGCTTGTTGGGCAGTCTTGGGGTCATACTTGGTGTTTGAAACTTTTCGGCGTGTTGGAGCGCATATTTAGTGAGCTTAAATAGCGCCTTGGGCGTCCTGAGGGCCACGGGGGGTAGAGTTGGAGGATCCAGAGGCCCCGGGGATGCGCCAAACAGCCCGCCCATCCACCCCGCCCCCAGCGACCCCCCCCCGGGCTCCCCTCTCGGGTCCTCCAGGACCTCCCTCTCCCCCCCTCGCCCCTGATGAGATCCTAGTCCCCAGGAGAGGGGGACAGGAGGTGGACATCTCGCAAGCCTCTGCACCCTCGGCATACGGTGGTCGGCAGATTCCCCAATGCAGATCCCGGTTCGAAGCGGGTGTTCGATTGGGTATACCAAGGCTTGCGCAGCATATCCAATGCGGCTGTGCCAGTGAACCTTCTGATGCTTGGAGCGAACTTGTCTAAAGGTGCAGATTTCGGAGCCTTGCCCTTGTCAACTAGTGTCGCTCTCGCTACGACGAAGATGATCCTACAGCCAGCAGTAGTGATGTGTCTTGTTTGGCTAGTCTCCCGCGTCGTCGGGGACAACGGAAGTGACGGGAAGTGGTTAGTTGCCATTATGGTTTCGCTTACGCCAACCGCGAATAATATAATGGTTCAGGCAGAAGCTGGTGGTCAAGACAAAGCTGCTCTGAGCACGCTGATTTTTACCCAGTACATGCTGTCTCCCGTTCTGCTGACAGCGTCCCTGACTGCAACAGCTTTCATGATGCAGGTTGATGGGTTCCTGCCGAGCCACCCATGAAGCTACGGCCCGTAGTGAGGCAAGTCGTCCATGCTGAGACCATGGCCATGCCTCGGAGGAAGTGGAGAAGGCATACTGGCAAGGCCAAATCGCAGCCGGGCCTTCGGCGCGTCTCAGGGGCAACGTCAGGAGGATATGTGCTCAGGAGGGGATGCATCGACCCCCAGACGCTCACTCATCGCCGATAGTGGACCGAAAGCCCCTCCCCGCCCAGGAACGTGCGGAGCCCATCTATCGGCGATCTATCGGCGCTGTGCATCGCCGATTTCAGGTCCAGGTTGCTCCCCCCTGAGCCATATCCCCCCGCTCAGCGTTGCTCTTCACCTCGGCGCTGCTTTCTGTGCCAGCGCCGTCTGCGGCGCTGTGCCAGCGTAGCGAGACCCTCTGCGATCTGGCTGCTCGCATGTGTACATTGCAGGGTGTAGGTCGTCGTTTTCAGATTTTGGGTCCGTGGGGTGTCGGCCAGGCCAGTCGCACTGAGATAATGCCTGCGCCCGAGCGTCAGCTGGCCCCTCTGGTATAGTTTCGGCCTCTGAGTGTCCTCGCCACCATTTTTTGGGGGTGCCCCATCAGTTTTGCAGCGCCGACGTCACCATCGCCCGTCGCCAAAGTTAATTCAAAACATCAGATGGTCGTATTGTTTTCTATGCGTCTCGTCCAGGCGGCTGTCGAATGAGGTCCTTCGGCGTGGGTCGTTGAAATTATTATTAGCCAGATGGGACATGGCGCGAGATGGGCTCAGTTCGCAGCCAGATTACTTCCGATTGAGTTTTTCACGTTTTCAGTTTCAAAGCCTTTGGCCGAGAGCAACAGGAGATCGGCGCCGCAGGATGAGTTCGGAAGGGGACCCTTGCCGCCGGCCTTGGAGCCGTCAGAACTCGATCTGGGATGACAATTGGTCACGGGGAGTGCCCCGTGGGTCCACGACCCGTTTCCGCACTGGCCTTCTGGCCTTCAGTCGGGCACGCCCCCCTCTACAGGAGGAATTTCCTTAACAGTTGACAAAAGGGCCTGGGAACGATCTTTGTATGACGTTTCGACTGTTTATGTATGTATGTATATATATATATATATATATATATGTGTACTCGGCTGTTGTATGGGCTTCGCGAAAAAAGTCCGCCTGTAGGAGGACATGCCCGACCCAACTCCTTGGCATCGCTCGGACGTGTGCATTTTTCCTTCGGCGAGGACCATCGAGAAGCATCCTTGACCATTTGGCGAAAAAAACATGCACGAAACCGAAAAACAACACAGGGAATGGACGTCCGAGCGATGACCCAACTCCGGCTCCAGTTTTGCCATCCCCTCAGCGCAGCCACCGCCTGGTCGCCGCTCCGGAAGGGCGCTTCCCCACGCTCCGCCGGGACGCCGCCCGCGCTGGGCCGCGGGCTGCTCCCGCCCCGCCCGCCGGGGGCTACCCGCGGGCGGGGCGCTCTGTCCCCTCCCCTCCCCCCCCCCCTCTCTTACCAGCCTCGAACGTATCCGTATCCCTAAGATTGACACGCCAAAAGGCGATGACAATCTCAGGGATTCGCCCTCAAAAAATGGAATCCCTAAGATTGGCATCGTGATGAGGAGAGGCCCAGCAAAGGGATAGGGATCTGTTCCAGGCTGGTAACTCTCGGCCTCTTCCCTCCCTCCCCGCGCGCCGCCGTGGCGCCGCCGCGCGGCCGCTCCTGGCGTGCAGCTCAGCCCCACCCAGCAGGTGCCGCCCCGCTGCGGACGCTGCGCTTGGGCCGCAGCGCCACCCCCTTGTGGACTCAACACTTCGCCGGCAGCAGTCCTGGGACCGCTGGGCCGGTTCCCGACTTGCGCGCCATCGCCGCTGCGCCCTAGCAGCGCTCGTGGGCGCGCCCTGGCCTCCACCCCCATCGATTCGGCGGGCCGCACGGGCCTGCTCTGCGCGGAATTGTTCTCTGCGTCTGAGCGCCTTCCCTTCCCGCGCGGCCGCCCTCGTTTGTTCCCTCCGTTTTGCATGCCGGACAATTCGCCGTTCGATTGCCCCGAATAGCCACACGTTGGAGCGGACTGCCTCTTCCTCGCCGCCGATTGAAAATATCGTCGTGCGACGACGACGGGTGTCGGCGACGGTCCGTTGGCCAAGGGGCATTCGCCTCGGGGTGCCAAGCGACAGCGGCAAATACGACAGCGACTCGGAGGGGCTTGATACACCACGTCGTTTTGATCGGTCGAAAAACCAGAGGTTCAAAGCGAAGTAGTACATACATATAACGGGAGGCCGGGTTCGGGGGCCCGGGGGCCACGACCACTACCACAAACGTGTGGCCCGGGGGCCCGGCCTGACCTTAGGGAGCCCCAAATCGCATCGGAGGGTGGTCCGATGAGCGCCACGGAGGCCCCAGCTAGCCGCCCACCACCTTGCAGACGGCTTTGACGGATCACGGGGCGTCTCCAACGGCCCCAGAGGTTTCGAAGACGCCTCTTAACCCGTGCAATTTGCCTTCCACGAGGCCCTGAGAGGCCAAAATAACACCATTCCTTTTCATAAAATCTGCGTTTTTACCGTATTCGTGTTTCCCGTTTTCGCATCATCTTTGATGACCTCAGGGCCCCCTTAAGATCGCACTTGCACGGCCCAAGAGGCCCACCAGAGGGCGCCAAGACGGCCCAAGAGGGTCCCAGGCCGGTCCCAGACGCGCCCAGAATGGCCCCAACGGCCTCCCAGAGGGCTCCTAGAGGAGCCCAAGATAGGGCAATCCAATTGGAATTGCCAGCCCCACGCCCCGAGAGGACCCCCGAGACTCCTCAGAGGCCCCTAGGCAGCCAACACGAGGCCCCCAAGAGCTTCTTTGCCCGTGCGATTTGACACCCCAGAGGGCCCCGAGAGGCACACATATTCCCGTTCAAACGCATTCGTGTTTTTCGTCTTCGCGCCGTGTTTGGCAGCCGCAGGGGCCCTACGATCGCCCCAACACGGCCCAAGAGACCCCCCAGAGGGCGCCAAGACGGCCCAAGAGGGTACCAAGACAGTCCCACAGGCAGCGGAGATGGCCCGAACGGCCTCCCAAATGGCCCCAAGAGGAGCCCGAGCTGGGGAAATCCAATACGTGGAGGAGGGATATGGACCATCGACGGCTATTACACCCGCGACTTTATTGAAAGTTGAGGTCCTGCCAACGCTTGAAGAACGTATGCCACACGGCGTACCGGGTGAGAGAGGCATTTTGGGGGGGATCTCCTCTTCCCAGGACCTTTGATTGTTACAGTAAGCCCCAATATCGGATCCGAAACCCTGACAACCCCATAGCACAGTCACTGGATCAATATTTCAAGGTTGTTCCAACGACTTCTTCCAATGTGTTGCAAACCCCGACGGCGTCTCCATCGAGTTTGTCGCCAAGCCTAATTATGTGACACAACAGCTGTCTATCGCCACCTGGAACACCCAGTGTCTCACCCCATGTCGGCCGAGCTCTCGTATTAAGCTGCAGGGGCTCGCAACCAGCGCTCGCCACAACCGATGGGAGATTGTCATGCTGAGCGATGTCTACATGGACACGGAGCCCGTGATGTACGGTCTGGAGGAGTACGTGTTGTTGAGCGCTAGCCGCGCCGCTTTTCTTCTTGCTCCTACCCCGTCCAAACTGCTACAGCGATCCAGTCAGCTTCACATTGTTCATGAACGGCACGTACATCTACATTTCGAGTATCGCCACCAACGTTTCGATTTTCGTTCAGTGTGCTGGCCTCCGGGCTCTCAGACGCCTGCTCGTGCTTTTGTCGCTGAGACGTCGGCGGAATACTACGCTTCGCTGCCGCAGAGCCCGCTGCACATCTGTGGTGGGATTTCAATGGTCATCGATGCCGGAATGATCATCACCAGGTTCATGGACTTATTCGTTGTACCAAACTACTTCGCCGCATGCCCAACAGATGTTCGATTTTCTGAGTGACGCACATCCTGGTATGCTTGCCTCCTGGTTGCCAGCAAGACGTCGTGCCACCTGGATTCACCCTGGCAAGAATAATGCATGTGATATTGATTTCGCCTTCATTAACAAGGACGCACGCTATCGCTCAATATTTCACACTTTGGCCACTCACGCTTAGGTTCGGCAGTTATGCTACAGGAGGTTCATCCAGAAAACCAGCCGAAATCTTCGGACAATTTTCAGCTGGAAATTCAACCGCCCCAAAAACTTGAAACAATCTCTAAGCCAAAACATGCGGAAATTTCAAAATTAAAGAAAAACTGCAAACAATATCAAATCCAAAACCTGCGAAAATCTCGGACTCTAAAAATACCGGCAAATATCTAAACCAAAACCTGCGAACATCTCAAACTCTCAAGCAATCGTCCAAATAAAAAAACAGCTCAACACCAACGGCTGGCTGACGCGCCGGCGCATGCAGGGCAACGGCAAGTGCATCCTCGGCTGCAGGGCCGAAGACAGCATCGAGCACTACGCCTTTTGCGCGGAGTTCCACCGTGCCTGCGGTGGGAGACTGAATCTGCGAAAGCCCCCTCCAGACAAATGCCTCGAGGACTTCTTGGGCATTGCCCCGCACACCGCGGAGCCGCACCGAGAGGCTGCAACTGCGGCGGCGGCGGCCGGAGCCGTCGCAGTCTATGCTCTCGTCCGAACGCACAACGCCATCAGGCACGGCTCTCCGGCTGCGGCGGGCGCGGAGCTGTTCGTGGGTTTTTTGCGGGAGGCCACCCTGGGACACGGCAGGGCCATGGAGTTGGTCGCCTCCGCCTTCAAGCGGCCGCGCCCCGACTGAGCCTGGGCCCGCGGGCGGTTTCTCTCTCCCCTTTCCTTTCCTCCTTCCTCTCTTCCTCCTCCTCCTCCTCCGCCCCTGTAGCTTTTCGAGCGCGCCGTCTCCAACACACCACGTTGCGTGTGGATTGTGGGTGCGATTTATTTGCTCCGCGCGGAGCCGCCACCACCACTCCATCGATGCGCATCGCATGCGGGTGCGATTTATTTGCTCCGTGCGGAGGAGGGGGGGGACGTAACGATTTCCCCCCCGCT